AGACTTCTTCAGTATGACTGATCAGAAAATCCTCTGTCAGTAGTTATTGTTTAAACTCTGATCTGATCTTCTCTCTATAAGAGAATAATAAGACTCAGTGGCGTCCCTGCTGGTTGTGTAGAAGTACTGCAGAGTCTTTGATGAAGCACACCATCAGAAATCTGCAGTCTCAGTTCGAGTATTTAAGAACATTTTTATAAATGTGGCCTTAGTTTATCTGGCCTGGACTCTTTAGGATATGGGCAGCAGGAGTCGGGTCGGGTGCAACAGGCACAGAATGAAACTTCAAAACAGTCTACAGCTGTAACGTCCTCTTTTTCTTGTCTAGACCTGATGACAGAGATGATGGACCTGAGCAGTGATGTTGGAGGACCAGGACTCCCCCTGCTGGACTACAGGACGTATGCAGAGAGAGTCTTCTTCCCTGGCCAGCAAGTGGCACCGCTGAGCCGCCAGCTGGACCTGCCAGAGTCCAGGAGGCAGACTGTGGAACAGGGTCTCCAGCAGCTCAACAACCTGCTTAACAACAGACTCTTTCTCACCAGGGTGGGTTGGGGGGCAGGAGGAGGGTCATTTAATGCTGCTGTAACCTGATCTCAGATCAGGACAGACATGGACCTGCAGGTGATGGTTTGTTGTGTGTCTGTCTCTCAGTTCATCCACACTCTGGAGGCCCAGCAGGGATTCTCTCAGAGGGACCGGGGCTACGTAGCCAGTCTGCTCACCATGGCCCTGCACGACAAACTGGAGTACTTCACCGAGGTCATGAAGAGTCTACTGCAAGACCTGGTCCAGCAGTATGTCGCCAAGAACCCCAAACTGATGCTGCGCCGGTACATAAAACAAATTAAATTTTTCATGGCCAAGACAGTAGCATAAAGTTTCAGATAAACGATAAAACAATAAAACATTCAGACAAACAGAATAATACTTAATACATAAAACAAGGAACGGGTTTAAAAGAAGCAGTAAATGACATCAAGTATTTAGGAAGGGTACAAATAGTCTCTAAAACTGTTTCTGTTATCTTCCATCTTTATAAAATGATCTAGTTTAAGGTGACTCTGCTACTCACAGTAAGTGAGTAAAGCACTTCCACCACAGACAGTGCGGGCTCCAGGAATGATAAACAGATTGAATCCCTGCAGTCGAAGGTTACAACGGCTGATAGAGTCAGTTGAGACCAGAAATAAGAAGGAAGCTGGTGTAATATGGACGTAGCACTGCTCCTTTTTACCACAGTATAAGGAACCAACTCTCTCATACAAACTTCAATGATATGTACGAAAACCCAAATTTTCAATTCAATTCAGTTCAATT